AACATCAGACAAATAACACGGAAATAACCCGAAATCGGATCGAAAACAGTTAAACTTTAGTTGAATTATGCATCAAAATATATATACGATTTCGTGTTATCAAAAACATATCCATTACAATAGTCAAGTTGACCTATTAATAGGCAATGAAAGAGAAGTAACAGTCAGCAGTAAAAACAGGAATGGTAACAGTGTAACGGCTAGAAAAAAGGAAAGAAAGTTAAGTTAGGTGGATTGGATATCAGTGGGCCTTTTTAGTTCAACAACATACATTAAAAGTTAAATGTAATTTTTTTTTTGGAAATTGTACATTGATTTTATTAAAATTTAATAATTAATTTTTTCAATATAAACTTTCTATTTGTAGGTTTTTAATATGTGCCCTTAAGGCACGTTTAGCATTACCCATAAAATATTATTGATTAGATCCTAAATCTAAAATTCATTCAAATTTCAAAAAATCAAGTTGCATTAATGTTTCATTGAATATTGACAAAATAACATCAAATATATGCAAAATAACTTCAAACGATGAACACAAAAGGTTGACTCAAAATTAGTTTTGGCCCATTTTGATTTTTTTTAATTTTTTTTTTTAATGTTTTGGTAATTGGTTTAGTTGATGAAAGTGATGTTGACTCGCTTTGTGGTGTGTGACTTGGTGTTGGTGCTGTTATCTCAGTTGGTGTTGTCTGACTTGGTTGCGTTGATTTAGTTGATGTTGTCTGATTTGGTGGTGTTGGATAAGTTGGTGTTGCATGATTTCATGTTGATTTAATGGATTCAACTTGTATGTTAGGCTGAGATGTATCTTGTGTCAAAGGTGGTGGAAATTTGCAAGTAACCTTGTTGTGTCCATCAATATGACACCAACTGCACTTGATTCCAAATTTTGCATACTTCATTTGTGTCTTATCTTCATTATTTCTCAGGCCTCCTTGTTCCTTTTTCTTCTTGGACCTCCCCCTTCATCTTTTTAGAGGCGACAAACTTTATTTTTGTCCATAGAGTTTCACCATTTATAGGATAAATCATGGATTGATAGAAAGTTTAATAATTTCTTTTTGTAGTAGTAATGACATAATCGTCTATATCCAAATGTTGATTCTTCATGCATGAAGTTACATGACAAAAAAACATGTCAGCATCCATATCCTACATGAGCATCCATTTTTGGATAGACTGACAATACACTTTTTTTCCATTGATGGAGATATGTCTAACCTCATAATCATATTCACCAACACGTCTATAACACACGCAAAACAAAAGTTTAAAATGTATAATGCAAAACTAACAATTTTAAAACATAACAAAATTCTAAATGCATAATTCAAAAAGTATAATTTCAAAATAGAACTCTAAATGTACATAACAAAATTAACAATTCTAAATGTATAATGTAGAATTATAAATGTAACAAAACCGAATTAACAATTATACAAGTTATTATCTCACAATCCAATAGTTTGATTTTATGGACTCTCTCAATCATTTTTATTTTATTTTTATATATTTGATAGAATGTTACTTTCATACCTGATTATTTTTTGTCCATTTGAATCCTACCTTTGCATAAGATAAATTCTAATTTCTTCAATCATGGTAATAATGAGTTTGACCCTATGTCGGTATCGCATCTTGGATTGATTTTGAACTTAGATTTGCTTAGAATCTTGGTAAAATTTTCAATAGGTGCTCGAATGCCTTCTCATTAAGCGCCCTTATTTACATCCTATTTTTTCTCAAGCATTAACATATGTTATAGTTACAACCCTCCATATCAATTCTTTCAGTTTAATTCTCGAAAACTTCTTCCTGAAGTTATTGTATAAATGCCTACAAAACAAGACCAAATTAAAACAAACATCATGTATATCGGATTAAATTATACCAGATTAATAGAGAGACTACCTTACACAAAGCCTTTGATCCACATATGAGAGAAATAAAGATCAATTTATATATAAAACTGGTGATCAACTTACTACAAAAGTAAGTTTTTTTTAGCTTACTCAAAATCATAACCTTTAAATTGAATCTAATCTAATAGTTAATTAATATTTTTACTTAATTAACTATTAGATTATATTCAATTTAAAAGCTATAATTTGGAGTAAGCTAAAAAAACTTACTCTTGGAGTAAGTTAATCTCCACTATATATATATATATATATATATATATATATATATATATATATATATATATATATATATATATATATATATATATATATATATATATATATATATATATATATATATATATATATATATATATATATATATATATATATATATATATATATATATATATATATATCCTCTGAAAATGTGGGTTAATGGTCTATCAGGATGTTCAAGGCTTTCCTTTCTACCTTAAAATGCTTGAGTAGTAATTAAACTCTCAAATTTGTCTTTTTCCACGTTATCTATCCCTTAAAGTTGTCATTTTTCATATTATTCCCTACATCACCACTGTCCTTTTCAAAGTCATTTTCCAAACCACTGTCCTCACAATTGACATATTTATCCAACTCCACTATACTGGAATATGCAATATATTCTCATTCATTGTCAAAGCCAACTACATTGAGCCCTATAAATTGTATTCAAGGGAAAGTGACAACTCTTTAATGATTTTAGGTTCTGAAAGTGAACAGATAACATATAAATGCATATTCTCAGCTAACAATGCAATGCTTTTCATCCTATTGGTTCATAAATCATCTTTCAAAAGAACCATCTCACTGATGTTCATTGCATCCTCATAATATCACGAACTCTATATAATTGGACAACCTAAATTCTTTAAACTACTCAACACTTCAAAGTAGGACCAGTAGTCATGGTATTTCCAAACACACTCTAGGCCATTGAAACTAATTTAGTTAACTCAAACAAGATGAAATAGAAGGCGAATTTGAAGTTGAAATCTTGGACAGAGTCAAAGAAGAGAAGCAAACACACCACTGTTGACAACGATTAGTAATTAGTTTTAGGGTTTTGTCTTGTAACTGTTAGATGAGTTTTTAGGATTTTATGATTCTGAAATGTTATTTACATTTGATGTTTGGATTCTATGCATGTAGTTGTTTAATATTTAAGTCTTCATATGTTAGGGTTTATCGTTTGATGTTTTATGAGTTAACATGATATACAAATATTAGCATCCATTATAATTTCGTATTTGCTGGAAATAGGTAGAAATGGAAGAACATTTGCATCCGATAATTCATCATGGTGGTGAATTCATTTATAATAATTTAACTGTGTACAAAGAGACTTAGTCTTAAGTTTTGTTTGAGGCTTGATGGAAGTCCCGCCCGAAAAGGTTCAAAGCCTCGCCTAAGGGACTTGAAGTCTCATTAACCAGACTAAATATATAATTTCACCTGAGGGACTACGAGTCCTCTCAAACAGGCTTAATTAAACTCCTCACCTGAGGGATTTAGAGTTTCATCGGGCGAGATCCAACATATAAATCTCTCCCAAGAGCTGCGACCGAAGTCTAGCTTGAGAGACTTACTGTCTTGCATGAGGGAACCATAGAAGTCCCACCGAGAGGTACAACGACCCGCCTGAGAGACTTAGTGTCTCATCAGTCAGGCTATGTATTACTGCGCTTGAGAGATTTAAACTTCTTAGGCTAACCTTACTCTCGTCTGATGGACTTCATGTCTTTCCGGGCGAGGTAAAACTCAAGAATCACGCCTAAGAGGCGCGACCAATATCCACCCCTAAAGACTTGGTCATAAGTACTGACTAAGGGTTCGATAAAAGTCCCGTCCAAGAGATCAAAACATCTTGCCTGAGAGACTCGTCATGAAGTTTTGCTTAAGGGACTCGACATAAAGTCTCCCATAAGAGAATCGATTATAAAGTCTCACATAAAGGACTCGATCATAAAGTCTCGCCTAATGGGCTCAACTATAAAGTCTCACTTAATGGGCTCAACTATAAAGTCTCAGCTAAGATACTCGACTTTAAAGTCTCGCCTAATGGGCTCGATTATAAAGTCCCGCCTAAGAGACTCAATTATAAAGTCTCACCTAAGGGACTCAACCATAAAGTCTTGTCTAAGAGACTCAATTTTAAAGTCTCGTCTAAGGGACTCAACCATAAAGTCTCGCCTAAGAGACTTGACCGAGGGAATCACCATAAAGTCGCGCCCGAAGAGCTCAATTAAGAGTCTCGACAGATAGGCTCGTCTGAGCGTATCGCCTTTAGGCCTAAGTTCCCTCTATGCAAGGTCTATTAAACACTTCACCCTTTACCAAACCCTCGTGCCTGAGAAACTATGTAGTATTTTATTTTTATCGGACCCTAGTAAGAGAATGGAAGGCCAACAAAGAGGCAAGGGGCGAGGTGTCCAGCGAAGTCACCAACCGCACAAATAGAGTGAAGAAGCTGTCCGAAAAAAGCCACGAGATCGCCTGAGGCAGGTTATCACTGTGATGTCATTAAAAACGTATTTCTTTTTTTGTAAAATAAAGATATAAAGTTGAGAATAAAAGAAATGATTTTTAAAATGCGAAAACTAAAAGTTAAAAATTAGTCAAATGCATTAAAACCTTCATCTTATTATTCCTCTTGCTTTCTCCTATCATTCAAACAAAATAAAATCTAAACTTGTTCCATATGATTCCATCTATTCAAACAAATTATTCCATATACTTCCATCTATCCAAACATTAGAAGAAAAACTCAGCATATCCCTCAAGTAAAAAACATTGAATCAGAAACAAGTTTGACTTGAACTGAACTAGACTGACCGGGAAACGCAGCAGAAGTTTCACCAGACACAACGAGTAAAAAACTCATCCACCTTTTCCATTTCCCCAATTTTCCGATTTCCCTTCCACTTTCCGGTACCACCCGCGCGGTTGCAACTCCACCGCGATAACCACCCCTGTCAAAGCCAACTCAGTTGCATCGGTTAATTCACAACACAGCCGTTGTTGCACATAAATGAGAATCTAAACCTAATTTACTCATTCATGGAAAATCTTTTTGATGATATTGCTCCTACTCCTACTACACGTGGTAACTGCTAATTCAAATCAAACTTTTTTTTTTCTCTCTTCTTCATTTCAATCCATGCATACGTTTTGGTTGATTCTTTATACTGTTTTGTTTTGTAGCTAGACCAGGTGCCAGATTTGCGCCTAAGGCTAAACCTAAACAACCGCCTCGAAAGAATGTATCTGCATCAAAAGATGAGAACAATGTGCACGTTGCTTCATCAACCACTCACAAAGAATCTGAAGGAGTTTCTCAGAATGAATCTCATAATGCAGTTGCTGTAACTTCCTCAATTGAAGAACCTATCAAGTCTGATCTTCATCCTGATATCCATCTCAATAATGGTGAGTTATGGTTGAAGCCCCTTCTCTTCATATAGAACTTTTACTAGTCTTATAAGCTCTGGCACTGTTTGGAAGTGCTTATAATATAAGTTATTATGTATATAAATCTATAAACTATTATCATATGCTATATACCATAGAGCTTTGGGAAGTAAGCTGAAAAGAGCTTGTAGACATGTCATAAGTTCTTTCATTAAGTTCTCCCAAACAATCTCACAAGCTTTATGTTAATAGATAAGTTCAAATAAGCCAATTGTAACATACTCTGATTCATTTCATATCCATCATGAGATTTAGTAACAACATAACCAGTTCACCTTGCTAATGTTGTAGAAAATGAATTGAATAATGTGGCTGCCCCGTCTACTATCTCCTCAACCGTAGTTAGGATGGAAGAACTGCCCAAACACGGGGAAGGTTCAATTCTCGGTATGGACAAAAGTTTGCAAGTTATTGATAATTCAGTGGAAGTTAGCTTAAACGCGGGCTTCAAAAGTGCTTCAGGCGACAGTAACACTGCAATACCTGAGAGTAACATTCATTCAAATTTTGAGTTTGGAAAGGTGGGAGAGGTATAATTTTGAATTTTATGGATTTTTTCATGTAGCTTTACTGTTTCAGATGGGTGTAGTCAACTTATGGAGGATATTGTTTCCAGGTATTGTCTGCTGAAATTGAGTTGGATTCTTTCAGCAATGTCCTCCCTGATCCTGGCACTGGGAATGGTTAGTAATGTTGATGTTGTTGTAAACTTACTTCAGATACCTGAAAAGATTAATCATCTGTATTTGTTTTCTATGTAGCTCGTAAGTTTCAACCCAAGGTTAAGCCACGGCCTAGAGTCAGCAATACACCAGCTATTGCTTCTGCTTCATCTGGTGAGTTACCTCCTTGCACAAATGATAAGTTCACCTTTATTTACCCACTTCGGTAATTCTTAGGAAAACCAATTTATCTATCAAGTTTGATTGTATAAGCTCAGGTATTCCTTTCTCTGAAAACAATAGAAGCATCGAAGCAGTTATTCCTTCACATCCAGATTTCCTGAATATGACCTCAGAGGCTGTAGTTCATGAAGGAACGAGAGATTTGCCTTCTAGCTTTGGTAAATCAGCTGCAGAGGTAAGGTTATATTTACCACAGTTTTTTCAGTTTCATTAATTTGCATAGTAATGATATATTTGATATCTACACCTATAGACTACAGATATTCTGTTGGGGCTAGAATCACTTGATGGCATTCTCAACCAAGCTGCAACTGCTACAGGCAAGTTATTAATGCTCTGCACGCCACTTCTCATTCTCCTCTTTAGTGTGCATGAGTTACTGTTGTTTTGAATTTCCATTTATTTTCTCTCACTCTCATGTTTAATTGGCTCTTGGCCAATTGTAAGTACCTGACGCTGGGATTCTTCAATAATGATTGGAAAATTGTTTGCAGGAAAACCAGATCTTAAATCTTCCAATGTGAAGGATGCAGAGGAAAATTTTGTCCTTCCAGAATATGATAACAAAAGTAGGTTGGAATCACAGGTGAAGATTATGTGATTTATTAGATATGATAATTTTCTAAAATATATGCTAAATAAATAAATTTTTTTGGTATAAAAAGGGGCATGATTATTATTGGTTTCAGGAAGGCGCAAACTTGAGTTGCACAATTGACAATGTCTATGATTATCAATCTATGATATCCGGCACTGATCCACCATCTGGAATTCCAAGGCATGAATGGTTGACAAATTCTGCAGATAGTCCCACATTGGCTGATTTTTTGCAGCTAGACAGTATTCGAGAGAAAGAAGTAAATATCTGTTATTATGATTTGTCATTTTTTCCCACTTCTCTGATTTATGTATCTGATCTTGTTGATGGGTTGTCATTTTATTTGCAATCTTTCTCAGGATGCCAATGGGACAAAAAAATCTCTAAAGAAGCATGAAAGATCTTCTATTGCTGTTGTGGAGGATAAAGGTGGTAAAACCTTAAGGCAACCGAGAAAACAAGCAGTTCGTAAACCTGCTGAAAACTCATTGAATGAGGCTATTGAGGATGATGATGTCCTCGACCCTCCATATTATTTTGATGGAGATGAACTTGAAGAAAATAATGATGAGTACAGAGTGGATTATTCATCCAAGAAGAAAAGAGCATCCACAAGTTCTAAGAAGAAATCCGTGACTAAAAATGGAAAAGCATCTCGAATATGCAAGAAGGCTAATGATGATATTGAAAAGGTTTCTGAATCACCTCCTAAAAAGTTCCCGCATTCATCCCGGCGAAGAAAAAGACATGGTAAACTTGTCAGACTATATGTTTTTTTAACTGTTGTCTATGATGACTATATTTATATGCTTACTGTGAAAGTATATTCATTTTCATAGTGGACAAGGCTCTGCTGGATGATGAATTTCTTGATCAGCGAACATTACCTATTAGGGATATTATTTTACTTGCCGAGTATAAGGAGCGATTGGCGGTGAGTATTCTCAACTATAATTATTGTGTTACAATGCTAGCAATTGGCATTAAGCATTATGGGTTAAATTTCACCAACTTTTCCATTTGTTTCTCGATGTAGAAAAAGGAGGCAGCAACTTCTAAAATATCTTCCACCAATCAAAGGTACACTATGAAGCCTATGTGTGTAATAGCTAGTAATTTAAGAAGTTAAGTAAATATATGTTATTTGATAGAGTAAGTTAGAGCCGATTACTTTTCTGTTAGCTTTCAGTTAAACCATTACACAACTCTACATATATATTCTGGTAATGTTTATCTTTTGTAAAAATTATATGATAATATATAGCTATACTGCAAATTAGCATATACCACTAATAATGTGTGATTCATACATTGAAGTAAGAGATCTCTGAAAATGTTGAGAAATTAACTCAACAAAGAAAAATTATTGTTTTTGGGTTGTTGTTGGAGACATATGAATACCCGGCACAAAAACCATCACACGGCATATACTACATCTTTCATTCAAGGAGTCTATGAAGTTCTTCAGAAAGTCAATAGTTTGACTCTATGGATTGCCATGTTGTCAAAACTCTTCCATTATTTTCATCCTTCAGAAAGTTGGTTCAGGTGGGGATTACTTGAGTTGAGGCATGGAGGATGGTAGACGTGACATAATGAGTATAATTACACAGTGCAATTTATATAGCTATCTTCTGTTTAGTCCTAAGTTGTGAACTATTTTTCAGCTGTAATACATCAATAACTGCCATAATTGATTCTGTTAGTTACAGCTTTTCAAACAGGGATACGTGAAAATGATCACATCTCGTACTTGATATCCTGTCAATAAGTATCAAAAGAGTATCCAATTGATTTTTTATTTTATATTAAAAAATACAAAACTGCGTCGGTATGCTGCTGATACGCTGCAGATACATTCAGGCATATTCTCATGGCCGTTCAATTTCTCCTTCCTTTATTGATCCTCACTCCTTCACTCATTCATAACCTATTTTCCTCTTTTACCTTCCCCTCTCCATGCACCCTCTTTATTTTTCATGGTTACCAATTGCTTAACCAACATGGTATTGGGTCAGTGCTTCATTGGTTAACGTAGCCACTCTAGTATAGATTCTAAATCTTTATCAGAGTCCTTCGGTGAACAGCACATCATTGTTTCTGATCCAATCACATTTCTCAAATTTTGAGAAACTCAAGTCTATTATGAGAGTTAGTGAGTAGTAAAATGTAAGATAAATGGAAGGCCCTAGTTTTGGCATTCATCAAGGCACTTCATGCATTCAGACCACAACTCCCTCTCCTCAGTAGTACTGAACAAAATGGAAAAGGGAAACAGGTGTAAAATTCACTTCATACTATCCACTGGCTGTTGTTACTTGTTACTGTCTCTGTTAGTCATATACAGTATTCTGTATGGAATTCACTTCTCAAAATGTTTATATGCAGTGATGGGGATTTTCTTCACGAGGCTGATGTTAATAATGAAGAGTTTTTTGGTTCAGATGATGAATATAGAGACCCTGATGATGATGATCAGGTAAATGAAAAGTTTACATCAACTGCCCCCTTATTGAATTACCAGTCTTTCATGGACAAGGCACCTAGGGGAAAATGGTCAAAGCAAGATACTGAAGTGTTTTATGAGGTATTTACATAATTCTTACAATGTCTGTCATTAATATTTTCTTAAACGCTGTTATACAATTGTCTTTTTGGTTTTGGGCAAAGCGGGATAGGAGGAAGGACTGTCCCTTTCTATAAATTAACTATTCATTTTTCAAACATAGGCTGTTAGGCAGTTTGGCACAGATTTTTCTATGATACAACAGCTTTTCCCTGATAAAACGCGTCATCAAGTTAAGTTGAAATACAAGAAGGAAGAGCGGCAGCATCCTTTACTGTTATCTGATGCTGTGAATAATCGTTCAAAAGGTTAAACTCTTCAGTTGTTTTTCTATGTTTACTCTACTTCATGGCTAATTGTTAATTCGTTAGTTTAGAATGGTTTATTGTTCTTTATATATTCCTTGATGAGGGACTAAAACTTTACCCATTAAAATCTATACTCTTCTGTCCTGTAGATCTTTCTTTTTTTAAATTGGTGGTTGAGAGGCAGAAACAAATTTCTAATAAGGAAGATCAAGATACCGCTGAAGATACCTCAGATTTAATGCTGGGAGAGGAGCCTGAGGACCCGACCCCTGGAACTAATGTATGCACAGTTTATTTATTTTTTTGTCAAGTAGCCTAGGTGAACAAATGTGATGTCGGGGGTTCGAACCCTCGCCCCTACAACTGATGTCCCTGCACAACTACCAACTGAGATTACTTAACAGGACGCACAATTTCGTTTTACCTTTTAATGTCACTATTCTTTTGATGCATTTGTTTTAAGGTCATTTTCTTATATAATAATGTCATATTTATCAAATATTTATTGCATGATGTTTTCCTGTGGAAATATGGAGTTTAACTGGTTTTTCTACCAAAATTAACATTTTGACTTGGTTCAGTCCTTCGTTTCTTAAAGCTCGTATCCTAGATCATTAGCTATCTTAGGCTTCAAAGTACAGCTAGCTGAGTTATTTTTATTGCTGCAAAGATGGAAAATAATTTGCCTTGATTATTTGTTCTCTTGTTTCTTTTTGATAATTTTTTTTATTTGTGTATTTTGTTCGTAACTATTCCATAATTGACCTTGCTAATTTTCAAGACTCCTGTAATCTGAATGCAGGAAGAGGTTGCAACAACTAAGCAGGAGCAGGAACATGTTCACATAGACGTTAGAGATCAAGAAGATTCTATGGCATATCCAATTGCAGAGCAATCTGATGATAGTGAAGATGACTTACAAAAATGGTCTCAATATCAAAGTGCTATTTAGAGTTAAAGAATCATAACAAACAATTTTGATCTCATTTTTTAAATTGAAGTTTAAGTGATATTTTAGTTTTTTTTGTCGAACTTCTAAATTTTGTCCAGGATATTTATTATGTCTCTTTTATAAGATGAATGCATAATATCGATTTATAAGTTTGATCAATATTATTTGTAGTTTAAACAATTGTATGGTGGGTATAGCAGGACTCATATCCATTCTATTTGCAGAAATAAATGTGTAAAATCTACTTATGACCATTAGTGTCAATTTTTTGTGTGCCTATTTTAGAAGTCTCAATAGGTAATGTTATTGCAAATCAATCATCATCACCATCATCTTTAAATCATTAGACGCTTGGTGCATCTTGTCATCACTGTCAAATTCTTTTATTATTTCTGCAAAGTCATCAATGTCTTCTCCATCTACATATCATAATAATTGTCAAATTCTTTCATTATTTCTTCAAAGTCATCAATGTCTTCTCCATCTACATATCATAATAATTGAAGAGGTTAATCATTAAATTGACCACTGCTTACCAAAACATTATATATACACGCGGGCACACACTTTTAAATTACATAGATTATTATTGCTAACTGTTTTGTTTGGTAATTAAAAATAGATCTAAGTCTCCAAAGGAATCAGAAATAAAGATAGTTTGATAATCGGTGCTCTTGTGCAGTGGTTCCGATCTCTTTTATGGTGATATAGGGTGGACATATATGATCAGCACTTTAATGTCCAAGTCAATTTAATATTTAAGACGAGTATAATGAAAGCTCTTGTGCAGTGGTTCCGATCTCTTTTATGGTGATATAGGGTGGACATATATGGTCAGCACTTTAATGTCCAAGTCAATTTAATATTTAAGACGAGTATAATGAAAGTAGAGATCAAAGATTGTACTTTGTTCTAGGCATGTCAACTGTTTTATACTTTAGGTTAAGTATAATGTATTTGAGATTGTACCTTGTTCTAGGGATGTGTACCTTGTTCTTGGTCAATTGGACCTTTGGTCGGTCCATAATTGTTGCTCCAAAGACTTCGCTGGACATTAAAGAAGTCAGAGGAAGCCTTAAGTATCATTGACCAACCTACAAGTCATGATTTGAAGAGGAACGAAGCCGAATTGCTTGGGACCAGTTTTGAAAAAGTAACGGGGAACTTGTGCATTTAACGCGGTTCCATTATTGAAACACTCCGTCACTCATTTCTGACACGTGTGGTGACGTGACCAATTAATATATGACACAGTTTACAGAGTGCTTGAGCGCACTTGAGTTAACATGTGTCCTTGAGTGGAAATTTAACTGTTGGTCTCGTGATTCCTTCGTACAGTTGGTCTTAGTCTTTCAAACACCTTTGTTTATAAATAGAGTGAGTTGAGAATTAGAAAGTTTTTATTACAACTTTTAGCATTTGAGTTCACAGTTACTTTTAAGAGAAATGTCTTTGTTCATTTTCATCTTGAGAGCATACCCAGAAGCGATTCAACTCTTCACTTATAGCTTTGCATTTTCCTATTTCTTTTGCTTCATCAATCTCCCATAAAAAATACCTTTCTAATTCCAGATTTACCTTCCAGCATTTCCTGTTTTCTCAGTTAGGATGAGCGATAACACTAGCGATTTAGTGAGTGATTTTGAAGTGGAAATTTCATTTTGGCCATCCCCTGATTCTTCGCACCCTTCTTTTAGTACTTATCACATATGACCATAAATTATATTCATATCTGACGATTCTGACTATAAAAGGCTATATGAAAATTCTTTAGAGGAAGAAACTTTTTCTTCTTATTCGTTAAACGACCTCAAATCAAATTTTGGCAGAAGAGCAAATCACGTCGAGGTCCATATGCCCCCTCTTGTCTTGTCTGAGGAGGAGGTACAAGCTAACATACGCGCGGGGGGGGGGGGGGGGGGGGGGGGGGGGGGGGGGGGGGGGGGGGACATGCTAAGGATTTTAATTCAAGTTCGTCTCTGGACTGAAGGTTGTGAGACTAGCGACATTTACCTGCTATAACACTTAAGCCTTCGAAACTGGCCGAATGCGCCGATGTATGACTGAATGGATACAAAAATAACGAGTATTTCCTCGGCTCCAGGCATGGAGGCCTCCCTAAGCGATGCTGACATTGCGGTTAGTGATCCTTCAGAGTGGTTGGTCCTTTCGGTGATATGGGGAGAGGATATGTAGTTCTTTTGATAACCACATGATCCTGTTCTATGAATTTCTATTTGTAAAAATAGGATTTCGGCTGCCATTATCTAAATATTAGGTAGTTACCCTCAAGAATTTTCAAGTTTCTCCTTTCCAAAAGAATTAATAAAGTCAAATCCGACCGTGGCGGTGAATATTATGGTAGATATGACGGTTCAAGTGAACAACGTCAAAGACCTTTTGTCAAATACATAGAGGAATGTGAAAATGTCCCACAGTACACCATGTCAGGATCTTCTAGCATGAACGTTGTTGTTGAAATACGAAATCGGACTCTTAAATATATGGTAAGGAGTATGATTTTTCATTCTATCTTGCCAGAGTCACTCTGGGGAGAGACACTAAAAACTGCGACTTATATTCTAAATAGAGTACCAACAAACGCAGCTGTCAAAACACCTTATGAGCTTTGGACCGGGCGAAAACCTAGTCTCAAACATTTTCATGTGTGGGGATGTCCAGCTCAGGCAAGGCCTTATAGGCCAAATGAAAATAAATTGGACTCTCGAACAGTGAACATCTACTTTATTGGTTATTCTGAAAGATCTAGGGGCTACAAATTTTATGATTGATAGTGGAGAACCGTATCGTGTTTTTAGGCCAATAGCGTACATGTTTTCGTCCGTATTTTATTATGTTTTGTTGCTTATACTTCGTTTTCTTTATTTTGCAGTTGTCGGTCCCGTTCGTTGCGGATTCAGAAGAAAAATCAGAAAGAGAGCTAAAAGACCAAAATAGCAGCAAAAAGTGAAAAAGCTGCCATTTTTGCTGATATGGCGTTCGCCACCGCTAGATTACACTTGCCATTGTCAGCCATTGCCACGTCAGACTACTGAAGAGGCAATGGCATGGCGTTCGCCATTATTTTGCAAGTGACAGTTCTGCGTTAGTGGGCATTTTCTCAGCAGTTTTTCAACTGCTCTTCCCTTCATCATGCTGCACGAACTTAGAAGTTATCTAGACCCCGTTCCTCTATATATAGGCCCTCCCGGACAGTTTCCAAGGCATCCAAGACGTGCAGAAGCGCTTCAAGACTTCCATTTAGTGTTTAGGAAAAAATCACTTGTAAAAGTGAAATAACTCAAATTGAGGGATTATCACAATTGTTATTATTTTTCTTTTTCCATTTGCTGTACTCTTGGATCGAAAATGAAGTGTGCCGGCATTCTAATTCAGATTTCAGTTATTTGACTTTCAGGTCTATTTCTCATTTTGACTTGGACTTGTTGTTAATTTAAATTCGCTTAACATGCTAGTTCTAAGTATAATTGTGGTGAACATGTTAGTTATAGATAAAATTATGTCTCGTTAAATTAATTGAGTTCGGCGTATGAGGACCATCATTACTGACGAGACTCAGTAGAAATGTTAGGTGTGAAATTATGATTATGTGTTGTTTTGGTTGTATTTTCTATTTTGCATGATATATGTTGTTTTGTCAAGAGAGTGAAAAATAAACCAAGGTTCAGGCCGATAGCGCGAGAGTGTGAAGAATGAACTAGATAGTGGAAACTAGGCAACGATCCTAAAAACAACGAGAGCGCTTTAGGAATCGTTTAGAATCTTATTGACTTTCAAAACACATTTTTTAATTGAAATGAGCGAGCGAGAGCAAAATCCTATGGTTAGGAAGTGTGGTTCTCGTTAATAGCGCGAGAGTGTGAGACAGAGTCTTTAAGTCGATATTTTCTACGAAACTAGATTTACTCGTAATTAGCACTAGAATTCTACGAGTCTCTTAGGAACACAAAATTCATATTCCGGACTCGTTTTTTCATCGTTTTCAAACTTTTAGCAATTAGTACTTTTGTTCCCGTTCTTGTCGTTATAACCCTTAGCTTTAGCTTTGCACAGTGACAATAGATAACATTAGTTTGATTATCAAACCCCGTGGGTTCGGAAATCTTTTAAAACTAAACGAACAACTGTATACTTACAGTTATTATCTGATAGACGCGTCAGTGTCGCACGATCAAGTTTTTGGAGCCGTTGCCGGGGATTGATTTAGTCAATAACGTGATTCCATTGTTGCGCAATATATACTAAGGCACCAAATTTTCCTTTTTCCTATTTCATTGATTATATGCTAAACACTCGCTCTCGAGGCGATAAGCTTGAACAACCGATTAACGATATCAAGCATTTTATTAACTTAAGACACTGAATCAACGAATTCCAAATTAAGTATAATCTTCCTGAACCTGAAATTCCTTATCCAGAACTAGGAATTCCCATAGTTGAGAACCCACCGAGCCGTCCTCTTAAGGATTAAGCTGTTTCATCGCAAGATGAACCGTATAATAACATTGCTGCCCCTGTTATCAATGAAAATGATTTCGAGTTGAAACCTTCTCTATTACAAGCCGTTCAACATAACCAGTTTTCTGGAAGTTCCATAGATGACCCAAACCTTCATTTATCTATGTTTGTGCAATATGCTGACACCGTGAAAGCAAATGGTATTAGTAAAGAAGCCATAAGACTACGTATTTTTCCTTTCTCTTTAAGAGATAGAGCTAGAGCTTGGCTCCAGTATCTACCATCCAATTCCATCACTACGTGGGATGAGTTGAAGAAAGTCTTCTTAACCCGATATTTTCCACCTAGCAAAACTACTATGCTAAGAGCCCAAATCAACAGATTTAGGAAGAAAGACAATGAATCTCTTTTCGATGCTTGGAAAGATACAAGGACATGTTGAGGCTTTGTCTACACCATGTACTTGAACAATGGTTAATAATATATACTTTCTGTAATGGTCTTCTTTACAACACAAAGTT